GTTGATGAAACGGAACTGGAACGCTCTCTCTGGCACTCCCTCGGGCGACGCATTCGACGCCGCTCTTCGCTCTCGGCTCACATCTGACATCGTGGACAGCCCACGAGACACCAGCGCGGCGGCTGGCATCACGGCGCCGGCGGCGGCTCCGGCCGCCTGGCCGGGCGCTGGACGGACACGGCCATCATGTCAGCGTCTCCATCTCAAGTAAGGTCACGGTGATCACGGGCACGCACCTAGTCCCTAAATCCTTCAAATAATCACCCCCCCCCCCTTCGTTACTGCTATGTGAGCCAAATTATGTTTCCTTTTTTTATTTGGTGTCATTGCGCAATAAATTAGGCCATTCAGTTAAGGTAGTTCAATTTATTTTGAGAACCTTCAGTCTAGGTAGCTTAATCTAACAATCCGATTTCGGTCAACTATTTAACTATGGGCGTGGTGCGAGACGCGTGCCGACGTGGAATGGACCCTCGTCCGGCGCCCCGTGGTGATTAAGGCGGATGGAGGGGATTATGCTCCGTGGGGAGTCGGGAAAGGGACGGGCGGCTGTGCACCGCACCGTGCGGCGTGTGAGACTCAGTTGCTGGACGGCCGGGTCCCAGAACGTTTCTTTAAGTTTGACATGTACAGGATTTTAAAGCATTGTGTCAGAAACTGTCAATAAATGGGACTTGTACATATTGTAATACGAGTGTAAGGAGTGGTGAAAGGAAAGGACCGGAGAGTAAAATGTCACAGACCATATGCCATCTACACAGCCGGAGAGGAAGTCGTTGCGGGAGAGGAAGTGGTTTCGAGGTATCCAATTCGCCATAGTATTTGGTAACGGAACAGTTCTTCTCGTCTGCCTGGTTCTCAAGGGACATCCAAATCCGATATGGCCCAGGTAGTTTATCGAGCCCGTGGGGCCCGATCCCGCTCAAGGTGGGTGGAGCCGGCCGGCGCGGCCGTCAGTGATTGGCTCAGTGGTTTGGTAGTACAGCGTACGGGACGACCAGAACTGTACACGTTTCGGAGACCACGGGAGTGGCCAGGCTGGCCTCAAACATCTGAACCGATTCCACCCCTTGTTGTCGTCTGGTCAGTGCTGGCCGGTTACCCTCCTGCCTAACAAACGTGGCGCCCGCACAGGCGCTGCTTATCCTCCTGTCCTAAGACCAACGCAGCGCCCGCACAGGAGCTGTTTATCCTCCTGCCTAACAAACGTGGCGCCCGCACAGGAGCTGCTTATCCTCCTGTCCTAAGACCAACGCAGCGCCCGCACAGGAGCTGTTTATCCTCCTGCCTAACAAACGTGGCGCCCGCACAGGCGCTGCTTATCCTCCTGTCCTAAGACCAACGCAGCGCCCGCACAGGAGCTGTTTATCCCCCTGCCTAACAAACGTGGCGCCCGCACAGGCGCTGCTTATCCTCCTGTCCTAAGACCAACGCAGCGCCCGCACAGGAGCTGTTCATTCTCCTGCCTAACAGCGCCCGCACAGGAGCTGTTCATTCTCCTGCCTAACAGCGCCCGCACAGGAGCTGTTCATTCTCCTGCCTAACAGCGCCCGCACAGGTGCTGCTTATCCTCCTGTCCTAAGACCAACTCAGCGCCCGCACAGGAGCTGTTCATCCTCCTGCCTAACAGCGCCCGCACAGGAGCTGCTTATCCTCGTCTGGTCAGCACTGGCCGGGTCATACGTTCCCATTTTCCAACCCAGAACGACCTCAACTAAGGGATTTCCGCTCAGCCTGGTCCGCACTGTCGGTGGCTCAACTTTGAAAAAAAAGGGGTGACGGTGGAGGACGAGAACGAGAAAAGATGAGTTGTTAGCTCCAGCTAGAGTTTCAGTAAATCATTCCCACTAAAGTCAGCCCACACCTAAGATGAATAAGGAACTCAGGGGGGGGATAGATGATGCACGTCACGCCCCTGTGCGTGTAAAGTCCACCGACGCGGCTACGGGTTAGGAGGGAGATGAGAAGCGAGTGAAATGAAAGAAGACTGTATTCGGAGAGGAATCGGATTTCCCAAATGAAGCTCAGCTCGGATAGACCCCACTAAATAGTAGGCCTCGCTTGGGTAAGCCCTGGATGCGTGCAATAAGTCGCGAAGTGAAGAGAAAGGGTGAGAGCGAGTTGAGGATCGATTATTGAGGATGAGTGCGTAGCCGACGAAGGCTAATCCGTTCGGTTGCCGGCGCGGGCCCCATAAAGCCGTGGCTATACGGAGACGATGCAGGCAGCCCGGAGGGACCTAGTGACCCCGCCCGGTTTTAAAAGATAGGTTAGGCCCGCTATCGGTCCATTGAGTGATCAGCGCAGGATGACATTCGATAAGTGACGTAGGTAGTTTCGGAGATGGTTAGGACCCCAGGCGTCCCAGCGAGGAGACGTATGCCGCCGGTTAAGTAATGTCCCGCGAAGAAACGTGTGATGCTGCAGGACGGGGGTGAACATTAAATACCAAAGCATGCGAGTCGGGTGATCGCGGTAAGTCGGTACTGGCCACCCCGCTGTCAGTCGATTTACTCCGGCCGTGCAGCGGTCATTTCGGTTAGGTCTGTGACGACAGCTTAACTACCAGCAACGGATAGATAGGGCTTCGGGCACCTATAACGCTGGTAGTCGTGGATTGTGTGAAGCCAACGGAGGCTTACCCGTTCGGTCGCCGGTGCTGTTTCAAAAGCCGTGGCTATACGGAGACGATGCAGGCAGCCCGGACGGACCTAGTTACCCAGCCCGGTTTCAAAGTTTAGATAAGCCCACCGCGGGCCGTGGTACGCTTAGTTTTCGTTTCCTTATAGGCAATTTGGCATAACTGGTAGTCATGGATTCGTGTAAAGCCGACGAACGACTAATCCCTTTCGGTCGCCGGGGGCTGGCCCGAAAACCGCGGCTATACGGAGACGACGCAGGCAGCCCGGACGGACCTTAGTTACCCAGCCCCGGTCTCAAATTTCAAATAAGTCCCCCGCGGAAACCGGACTACACAGTGTCCTGCGAGCCGTAGTCTCGGAACCGCTGGCCGAAGGACATTTATGTTTTTTTTTGTGTAGGTAGTTCGACATGGTGATGGGATGGACCGCAATAAGTCACGTAACGCGAGGGTCGAGTGCCGAAATCTGTGGTGGGTCGTATCTCTAATTGTGTAGCGTGAGCATTATGAAGCGTTTGTCTGATGTACGGAACATTGTGGTTATGAAGGGATAACGGTTAAATGAAATTTAAGACCAATGACTCGATAACGACTTTGCGCGCGCCCTAGCACCACCGGGGGAAGTTAGGAAAAAGGGGAGGGACCGGAGATGGTCAGCTCTGGTAAATTACGAGGTATAAGTGGACGAATGACAGGGTTGTAAGGGGATGGATAAATGGACGAATGATTGATACATATATCTGGTGGGAGATGACCCTCAAGCTAGGAAGGGCGCTGTTGTTTGAGAGTGGGACCTTTTGTTAATTAGAGTTGGGTTCGTATTTCAGTGTGATCAAGGATAATAGGTTATTATTGTCTCTCCTCCCATTCCTTAACCCTGGCCTATGTGTTTCCGATGATTGATCGCCCCGGAAGAAAGAGTCAGAGTCGGAACGGGTTCGCGAGGGGCTGGACATTGAGAAGGGCTTCTAGGAGCGCACCGACGGACCTCTCTCTTGCTCACTACCAGAAGCGACTGCCCGGCTAGCCCCGCAACGCCGCGAAACCCCGCTACACTACCATTCGATCCTTCAGATAGAACCTTGTATTAAAAGGTGCATAATATTATCAGACGCCCCTCCCCTTTAACAGCTTTTTGGTGTCCAGGTTGCGGACTCAAAGCGTGCGGCTAGACCCACCCTTGGATTCGCCCCATAACTCTAAAAAGTTCTCGCGTCCCTGGCCAGGGGACGCGGGCTTGTCCTTTTTACAACGTTAAGACTAACTTTCTTGCATGAGTACCCATGCAGATATTGCCGCGTGATATTTACAAAATTTGACGTAGAGGCATCTTGTTAAGCGTCATAATTGTACAAAATTCAGGAGTGAAAAACGTGTATCTTTGCTGAGAAACACATAAAATTTTAAGGTGACTTTTCTATAAAATACAGAGACGATTCAGTGGCCGTCTTTATTTTGAATTCGAGGTGCCTGACGACGGTCAGCTAAATTATCGCGCATGACCAATACCACGATATGTCGGTGACTAGTCCTGCTCGACGGCGACTAATGCTCGACCTTAAACGTCTTCAAATGGAACCGCCGGATGGTGTCAGCGCGTCTCCAGTGGGTGATGATTTTATGATATGGGACGCAATTATTTTTGGACCACCAGACACCCCTTTCGAAGATGGAACGTTTCGCCTCAAGCTACAATTCACCGAAGAATATCCTCACAAGCCACCAGATGTTCGATTCATGTCAAAACTTTTCCACCCAAATGTCTATGCAGATGGTTCAATTTGTCTCGATATATTGCAAGGTCGCTGGAGTCCAGTCTATGACGTTGCGTCTATCCTGACATCAATTCAGTCTCTGCTAAATGAGCCGAACCCAAACTCTCCAGCCAATGCATACGCAGCTCAATTATATCAAACGGACAAGAAAGAATACGCTCGCCACGTTCAGGCAATGGTTACTAGCTCGTGGAAATCATTGGATGACGATCAAGAAGGAACAAGTTATCAAGAGACAGTCGAGCCGGATTCTGGAAGGGAGTCTGATCTTGACGAAGTGTCATGACGGGCAGCGTTTGGGAAGTGCGAGCTGGGAGATTGTACCCGGTAAGACTGCTAACAACTGTTTGCTGTTGGCCAGATGTAAATTAATCATGATGTTGGCATCGCATCACTGTATTCATTGAATCTGACCTCCGCAATGTAGCAATTTTCCTTGTGAATTGTCTTTAAACTGGCGGGCATATGTTTTAGTAGGTACTTACGACTTGTCTAGAGAGCGTAAAACAACGAGGTGGCAGCAGCGGGCTTCGATCAGATTACAATGCAAAATATTGTTTCAACGGTGTTGATCACACAATTGCTCAAACACATTTTGTGGAAAAATATATTATAGTGCCTTTCACCAAACTATCACATCTACCCTTTAAACTAAAATGATTACACACGAGAATGGGGTCAAAGACGAGCATTATACCTGCCTATGCCAATTACAAACTACATGAGTTCATCAACTCATCGATGGACTCTATTCAGTTGTTGGAGTGAGAGTGAGAATCGGATGAGCATTGCAATTCGAAAATATTTACGCAAAGATGGATAGATGTCTTGCTCAGATTAGCATCACGCGCTAGTGCACACTGCTAGGTGCTAATTAATCGCCATCAGCAGACATTGTATCTACAAACGGCGCCACATGAAAGTCCCTGCTAAGTAGGTATTTAGCAGCAGCAGATAAATATCCCTAAATATGTATTCAATGCATTATATAGAGACAGGATGTGTTTAAAGGGATATGTACCAGTCTTTCTTCCGCTTTGCCCTTATGCGCCACTTGGATCAATAAATCGACCTTCCGTATTTTAGCTTGGCACGAACATCATTGCACAATACTGAAATCAGTAATCTGCATACCTATGTTTCTCCCATTTCGAAATCAGCTGAAAACATCTATTCTTGTTTGCCTATGAAGTAAATACCCTTTCAAGTAGAGACGATTATTAGAAAAAGAAATAAAATAAAATGTCAATGGTAGGTATGGACGTTATGCAATAGAAATTTAAGAGTGGAATATACCTGTAGTGCTTTTATTATTTATAGACTGAGCTAAGCTAATACATTCAGGAACCTGCACTCAGCACTGTCCAATAATAATTATCTCCTCGTTACAATTATCTCCTCTCTATTTTTCTTTATAAATGCGTTGGAATCACGTTAAAAACGGGGAAAATGGGAAAAACTGATGTTGACAGCAAAGCCTTGCAGTGTGAAGAAGTAATCCTTCACGTCGTCAATGGACAAAACAAAGCTTTTGTCATACCGAGTCGCGCACTATTGTTTACAAAGAAGAGATTCACTGTCATGGAACTTGGCCGATTGTGCTAAGCTAATAGCAAAACATATCTTACGCTAAGCAAACTGCTCTCGCCTGGCGTTTCAGTTCGAGCGTTTTTGACTAATTTGACTAGGAATATCAGTCGGATTATGATTCGTTGTAGATACTAGGTACCCATTACTACACATACTGTAAGGCAACGTAACAAACTCAAGTTGTCTAAGCTTGAATTAAATGAATCTGCGCTTCAAATGACTGTGAAACGAATATTAACCGCTTTGTATAACAATGAATTGTACACATTCTGTGTTAACAAAAGTGTAGCTGCATTCATATTCATGTCATTTATGTTCACAACAACGCTATCTTCAGATCTACCTAAGTCGGACGATATTGGACGGCAAAAACACTGCTGATGAGGCTACCATTGAATCAAACGTACCGAATTATCGCACAAGTACGACATATACAGCACTGTTGATATCATAAATCCTTTGATTAAGTGATATTCGGATGTTGTACCAAGACGATCAGCAATTCCTTGAAAACCTGATACAGCAATAAGCATAAGGTTAGGCTGCTATCATTGTCTTGCGGGTTTTCTTTCTAGTGTAGGCACGATTTACATTCCATAAATATTTAGATAACGATCAATAAAAGCAAACAAAAATGCCAACAGCTGAGCGGATGTTACCAAATTCCGAACTAATACCTATCATCATTAAATCTCATTCAGGACTAAAAACAAACCAACACAAAATAGTTAAAGCACTTAAACACAGCACTCCGATGACGCTAGCCACACAGTATCCCTGATTTTAACAGAATGTCGAAGCATGATACACCTCATCTCCAACTGAAAATCGTAGTTCATGGAATGTATCGATAAAAATAAATCGGTGGCAAAGAGTCACACTGTCCTCAACCACTGCAATCTCCGGAATATCCGGGTAACGAAGCCAGTCTTTCTGGCACAATACACAACAATACCTCTCGATACGACACAAGTGGCGCTGGCGGAAGCAGCCTAGCCGGAACAATGGCCCAATGATATCGCTTCACCAGTGCCATCTGCAAACGATCCTGGCGGGCACACACGCACTACAGGTCCAACACAGTTCAGCAATATTGCGGCCTCTCAGCCAGCCGTCCGAGCGGCGCAAGGCAGCGAGGTGCTCCTGACCCGGGCGGAAGGGTCGGCGGGGCCGCCACGGCATAAAACGCCGCCGGGCAGGGTCGCGACCGGCTGAACGGGCGACGGCAGGGGCGCACCCAGGCCCGGCGGCAGGGGCGCGCCCAGGCCCGGCGGCAGGGGCGCGCCCAGGCCCGGCGGCAGGGGGCGCCCGGCCGGCCCGGCCCAGGGTCAGACGAGCGTTTCGCGATGTCAGGAGGGCGGCTGCCCGTTGTCCATTCGTCATAACGCGGTGCGCACGCCGGTCTCCGCCTGGCCGGGCAGGTAGACGAGGGTGTCGGCCGGCGGCTCTGTCAGCTCGTCCTTCTCTTCGTCTCCGCCGCCCTGCGAAACAGGCGTCCGGTGATGGGACGGAAAACGCTGACAGGCGTCCAGTGAGGGAACGGGAAACGCTGACAGGTCGTAAGGCCCTGGGCTCAGCGCACAGTAAAAGAGGGCCAGTCCGCCAAGCAGAATCTTTACAGGAACATGGCTGAAGTGAACTAGAACCGCTACATTTGATCATTTCCTAGATATCGATATTGGTATGAATGACGCGGCATTGTTTCGCAGCCATTAATAATGCACAACATGTCATCATTCCTTATTCATTCACCACACGTCCACCATAATATGGGCTCCGACCGCTTCCATTTCCTGGACATGGAAGGTGCTATAATTTCCTATTTCATAACGTTGGTGGTGCAGTCGCCATCGCTACCGCCACCACCTCACTCTATTTCAGCCAAAAAGACCTGATATACAAGATCTCTATGATATTGGCTACCTGCCGGGGCCCATCCACAATGGTTCGGACAGCACACGGGGATTCCTGGCAGGAGCGCCATCACCTCAGGAATGTCGCGGCCACTCGGGTGCCAACAACACCCCGGCATTCTTAGTGCCGGCCGATATTGATTTGTCCTCTAACGCTCCCGACCTTACGACTATTATTGTGCAAACATGAGCCTCTGTCACTAATGGAGGTCGTTGACGCGACTTCCGACCTTTTTTTCTATCATCCTCATTCTCTTTTCTCTTGTGCTCTCCTTCCCCTCTCCTTCTTACTTTTTCTCTTTCCAACTATCAGTCTCTCTCTCTCTCTCTCTCTCTCTCTCTCTCTCTCTCTCTCTCTCTCTCTCTCTCTCTCTCTCTCTCTCTCTCTCTCTCCCTCTCTCTCTCTCTCTCTATCTATCTATCTCTCTCCTTCCTCTCCTTCTCCTCCTCCTTCTCCCCTCCCTCCCTCCCTCCCTCCCTTGCTCACCGTTCCTATAGCACTCGCGTCCGCCAGCGCCTGTTTGGCCAGGTAGCGCTCCCGCTTGATCTTCATGTTGAGGCTCTCGGGAACGTCCGGTACCACCAAGTCGATCATCTTGCAGATGAAGAAGACGACGTGCTCGAAGAGGATGACGAAGCCGAGACGCACGGCCAGCAGCCGCCAGTAGAAGGTGGTGAACTTGCCGTTCTCGTCTCGGAAGCCTCGGTACCTGTCGATGGTTGGTCAATCAGCTCGTTGACTAGCCGATAGGAGTCTAACATATACGGCATCTCGGTAAAAGAGAACAAGGGATATGTGTGTAGAGGCTTGGTAATTAGTACGTAGCATTATAGCAGATAAGCATGACTACTGACTTTCTAGGACACTTCTGCATGATCACATCATTTCATTCAAAACCATGCACTTTAATTTAACTCCCATAAGTTACATAGTTAGAACGCCATCTCCTACCAACGTAGCTGAAAATGCGATGCCGTTTAGTATTTACCTGCAGTCGCCCTTGACGTCGGGGTCCGAGCTGTTGGGTGCGTACGCCATGGTGAAGTTGACGTAGCCCTCCAGGTGCCAGTGCATCTCGTACTGATACAGCATCTTGGGCAGGAACTCGGACGTGAAGGCAATCAAGAAGGCCTGCAATGCCAGACATGTTGCAACGACATCACCAGACAGGAATCAACGTCAACAAATGATAAAAATGACTCTAATCTAATGCACTTTATGGAAGAGATCGCTCTGCAATCTCTGCTCTGCAATTCAGAATATCCCATGATCTAGCATAAAATGAAAATTTTGGAACGTAAAAAGAATATATTTGCCCCCACACAGATCGGTCGGCTATCTCACATTGCTGATGACGGCGAGGTGGGCCAGCGTCTCGAGGATGGTGAACCAGATGCCGATGTTGGCGCACCGCTCGGGGACCGGCCGGCGCGTCTCGCAGAGGAACTTTTGCGCGTCCAGCCGGATCTCCACCCAGTTGTTGAGCAGCGCGAACAGCGGCGCCAGCGGGAACGCCGCCACGAAAATGGTGATGAAGCCGAACTGAAGCACTGTGTGTGGAAGTGGGTGACGAAGCGTTTTGATTTGACGACATGCGCATTTTGCAGAGCTGGAGGAAAACACTTTAATAAGATCGTAATTGCAAGACATGATTTTAATGCGATTACTGTACGGCACATGCAATAATTTACGCAAAATAGGTATGTCCATATGCCACCTCCAGAACAATTATCGGTAGGTACTCTGTTGTTTCTGATTTCAAGGCATGCCGTCTACATCAAAAGCAAAAAAGTGTTTCTCTGTACTAAACTACGAAGTTCAGGGCTTCAACTACCCAAAGCCGAAAAGTCATACACTCTCTCAAAGCCTAAAGTAGCGTACCCATTTCCAGGTACTCCTGGAAGAGGCCCTCGGAGTCGATGAGCTGGTAGTCCTCCTCCCAGCGGGTCTTGCTGCACGCGCCGCTCATGCCCTTGACGCCGCGGTTCTGCCAGAAGGCCTTCAGCTTGGGCAGGATGATCTCCTGGGCGTTGTTGACCATCTGTTTGCCGATCATGATGACCGCCAACTGCTGTGCCAACTCCACCAGGCAGCCGCCTGCGGCGCACTGGGGAGCCGCGCCTCATGGTCAGCTCACGAGCGATGGCTGCTCTGATTGCCATTTGAAATCCATTTGAGTTGAGGGTGGGACTTTTAATACGAGTGACTTAACCTTCTTAAGAGTTGCTATAAGACATTCTTTGTTACCCTCCTTGCGCAAAATTTATTTTCTACAGCACGTTGTGCTCGATTCCTCAGACTAATGATCTGCTACGTTACCTGACATGCATCCTGGACTTCCAGCACGCAATGTCCTTGTCCAAGTAAATGGATAAGTGGCATACGACGCTAAACGGGCAATTATGCACGCTGCACACTAAACGTTGCCTATGCGTATAAACGCAGCAAACGGGTGACTGATGTATTGCTTTATGAGTTAACTTTTGCCGTTAACCTTGTTTAGTGTTCACTCAAAAGCTACTATTGGTTTCCCCGTTAGATAAGCACGCAGGACGTCCCTTGTGGCACGTGCGTCTCAAGATATATGTAAGTTATAACCGACGGCCTGATGTAGTAGGCAGAGTGGCAGGAGTGTGATGGGAGGGAGAGTGGAAGAGCAGGACGTCTGCTGCCGCGCGCGACGGCCGTTCCTCATCCCGCTATCTCATTAGGGCAGGGGCGTGATCGAATTAGCCTGCGAGTCGGCTCTGCGGCCAGAGCCGCGGTCGGTCCCAAGGTCCGCGGTCGGTAAGAAACACGACCGCCGCCGAGCCGGAACCCCGGCCCCCGAACGGCGCTCTGCACCGAATTCCGGACTGGCAGAAGCGCTAACAAGGTCTTCAAAATGGTGCTAAATTTGGTAATAAGCGGCTCTTTGATCGCCGTGTCAGGCTTCTTGCTCCGTTATTTGTGGCAAAAGCGACGTTCATAGAAGCTGCGTAAAAACGCCATCAGAGGACGGATTCGATACGATTATCAGCGAACACTGCGCAGAAGGCCTTGTTACGGATGTTTCTTTTTACATTATTAAATAAATAATAGTAACATTTTTCAACTTAATCGTGCAAGGTGTTTGCCTAACGTAATATGATTTGTGCAAGCGTTGCGGCACAGCATACATTCAGGCGTTTTCCATAATTCCGATCCACCACAACATTATGAGCAGGCACGCGTCTTTCCTGGAGAGAGTAGCATCATACGATCTTTAAAATTATGACGATGCTGGGTCCAAGAACGACCAAAACTGTCTATTTTCACATTAAGGCCCGTATATCGTATCGACTAAAGTTCAAATGAAAAGTCGGATAAATTCCGACTGACAGAGACGGAACAGATAATTTTTCTCACTCACGTCTTCGTTTCGCAGCCCGAGGATATGGTTGTAGTGGCCCGGGTAGCCCACGAAGCGACCCTTGAAAAAGGCGATGTAGAAGATGGATGAATAAAAGTTGATGAATTGGAAGACAAACACTTTGAATGTCAGGTTATCCTCGAACTCGCTCTGGGTCCGGTGCATCTCTGGAAAGCGAAGCGGGGTTGTTAGCTGGAAGGCCAATACCTAAAGCAAGGACATGTTAGTGGCGTTTGAGGGGATCTAAGCTCTGAAAGCACCAGTTGATATACAAATAGCACGGGCGTTATCGTTCATCAATTAACCCATGTAACCAGGCATTGGGCATTGCTAAGCACGTCGGGCCACGACGACGCCACACGATTAATGTTACTCTATGCGAACTTCTATGCGAACGGTCGCGTTATACCACAGTGTTTACATGGCGTTAGTTTTTAAAGGCAGTTGAGGAAGGTTAAGTACCTCCAAAAATAAATTTCGAACTACTCCATTGTTATCATACAATGCCGAAAGGCATTCCATTTAATTTTAACGTACACAGAAAACTAAAATCAAATCAATTTTCAATAATCTAAAATATATTTCCTATTATTGATAATGATTCCATCCGGGAACTAGCGCGGAAAATGATCAGCGACTCAGCCGTTCCAAAAATCGCTGACAGAGCTCCGCATTCGGCGGCAGATCCTTCGACAAAGCGTCGCGTCCGACAAAGCCCCTCTCTACCGCTCGCCCGCCGTTGTGCCGCGCCCACGCGCCCCGGTCAGCACCCGATGACGTCATCACCAGTCCCCCCGCTGACGTCACGCACCCCAGACGGTGAGCCGGTAGGCGAGCTTCTCGTACACGCGGCCCATGCACATGATGAGGATCAAGTTGACGATGGCGCCCGATAGCGAGCTGATGGCCTGCGCCTGCGAGCGGAACGTCGGGTTCTGGAAGAGCGGGATCGAGACCAGCACCCGGTAGATGATGACGGCCACGATGAAGATGATTACCAGTGACATCTGCCGGGAAAAAGACGACATTTAGCGTGTCAGCAGTGGAGATAGACGGGCTGATGATTGATGAGGTGGAACTTGGTTTGAATTATTAACCCTCGCCCTGGCAGGGCATTTTTCATAACACGGCCTGGCAGGGGGGGGGGGGGTCGATGCGACCCCCCCCCCCTCGCGATTGGCTCCTATGGCACCTAGAAACACCAAATTTGGTAGGTAGGTGGGCCCCCCGGAGTTCTCGCCCCTGTGCAAATTTGGTTGCTCTAGGTCAATATTTAGGGGGGTTTTGGGGGGTATAAATGTAAAAATTTCGCTAAAAACAGGTCAAAAGTTTTTCGCCTATAACTTTTGATCTAATTAAGATAGAGCAAAAAGAAAAGCACCAGTGAACTCAGCACGTCAAGGCGCGTCGAATGATATACTTTTTAGCTTGCTTAAGTGTACTTAAAGTTTTTCTTAAATTTTAAGTAAACTTAAATTAATAAATCAAGTTCAAATTAACCAAATTGCATCATATCGCATATCCTTTGATTCGGCTGATCACCAGGAACACAATGATACCATTTTTTAAGCTTTAGCGTCATTATGTGCCAAGTTATTGGCAAAAACGTCATTTGACCTCAGTTGACCTCATTTGACCTGACCCATGGATAAGTACACCAAACAAAGAAGCACCAAGTGTCCTGCTGTTAAGTACCGTGGTTTCAAAGCACAAAAGTGATAAAACGAAGCGGATATCTCCAGTATTTTCCGAATTTAGTATTTTCCCATAGGCTTAACATTACGACGTAATGACCTCTAACTGACCTCAGGTCAGTGACCTCAAAAAACCCGGAATATATGTTATACAACTCGGTGAACTTAGCACATCCTGAAAGTTTGAAGGAAATCAGTCGAAAACTGTGAGTTGGACAGGTGCATAAAGATAATTGAAGTTTGACCATGACCTTGTACCGGTTTTTCTGACCTGGTGACCTGACCCAAGGTCACCTGGACCTGAAATTTTCAGGTCATATGTAAAAAGGTTGCCCCATAGGCTGTGCCAAATTTGGCGGCGCTGCGCGCCGCCGTTTTTACGCTATCTTCGAAAAACCTTAGGGGGGGGGTCGCATCGACCCCCCCCCCTGCCAGGGCGAGGGTTAATGTGTCGGCTTTGTTCCTGATTTGTCTGTGCGAAACTCGGGGGATTGAGTTGTGCAATTTTTGACTGACCAAGTTAGCAGGTCTGTCAGTGGAGACAACTTTTGGGTTGTCCAAGCGGCGAGAAGTCGTTGTGAACTTTGAAAAGGTGGCGGCGCTCATCAAAATTTCGGTCAAGTTGTTCACTATTCTGGGTCCCAGAGGAGCAGCGATCGATTGCGGTCGACCGGCGGGCCCGGTCAAGTGGCCACCGCTCCGGGGGACAGCCAGGCGGACTGCACCGGTCGGCGGCACGTCTCAACCGCCAGTTCAACTGAATCAGGGCAATGCAACATCGCATCAAATGTGATTTAAAAATCGATATAACGAGCATCAACAAAAGCTCCATAACATTTGTCATGCATCTTCACACGGTCCGGGTATAAGTATTTATGTATGTACCTAACCTAAATGTTTGGGAAAAAAATCATTTTCATCCAAATAAGCAATCAACAAAGCGTACTCGTATTATACCTTCCTTGTTTTTATATGTGATCTTCGTCATATTAAATTTGATTTACCACATATACGAGTATTCCAAATTGAAACGACTCAGGAGTCGGGCGCAAAACCCTGCTTAAAGGGACCCTCCCACCTTCAAAAAAGTTAATGAATTGGCATGAAAGTGATGTCGCTCGGTTCAGAAAGAGCAAAAACGAATATCTACCAAATTTCATCGAAAAATATTCACTGGTTTTCAAGATATTAGACTTATACTTTTGTTTACTTTTTGGGATCTCCGCTGTTCCTAGCGACTTTATTTGAAAGTGCGGCATTTGCTGCGCGCAAAGCAGCATATACCACCGCGTGCTACAAAACGTTTTAGTCAAACATTTAAAAATCGTTAGATATCTGCGATGACGTCACACATTCAGAGGGGTATTCCTATGCATTAGCCCCTCTGAATCAAAATGCTGCAATTTTGAAATTCAATATTTCCGATTTAAGGCATTTCTCGATGTTGTGAGTGCCGAAACCGGTAATTGTGAGCCAGGGACCCCATTTTGGCTATCTCAACTCAAATCTAATGTTAAGGTGGGAGGGTCCATTTAAAGCGTGATGCGAGAATCGGCTCCATGCAGAATGCACTCCAATCGATGTGTGCTAGACAGGACAGTGGTACAACAAGCAGCACAGTTATGTCTGAGGCCTGTTTCACTAACAAATAAAGTGTGTAATTACAAAGAAAAAACTTGAGTTTAAAAGAAATAATTACCAACATTTGAAATTTGGATTTCACGAAACCTTCGGGCATGAATTTTGAGTTTAAAATTTGCAAACTTTTTTACAAGAAAAAGTTTGCTAGAAAACACGGGAATCGCAAACTTTCTGTTTCACGAAGACCAAAAACTTGAAAGAAAACATCGTAATTACAAACCTGAAATTCCAGTGGTCCTGACGTTCGGAATTTTGATACTTTTTGTGCAATGATGCAAAGCAATCAATTATTTAAAACAAATATGATATTCTGAGTCATTATATGCTCTTTTTCACTTAGCACATTCCCTACGAACCAGCTACGAGCAATAAATAAATATCGTCATGTTTTGTCATTCGCGCGCCATAATTGCATTCAACAGTCTTCTGCTGTCAAATGTTTTTTACGTGCTATTTTCATTCAATAATAAGATATTGTGAACTATCATTTATACCACTCAGAAACAGCATCATTATTTTTAATTTATTCCTGTAATTTCTGACATGAAAACTAGACATAGTTTGATAAAAAGAAGCAATATCTGTAACATGGTAAAGTTCTTGATTAAAAACAATTTTATTGTTTACAAGTTTATTTACCAACTCTTTTTATCGGAGGTGCCGCTGGTGATGAAGTTTAGTGAAACCCGATTTTACATAGTTTGCAAAAATACTTATGAATTGTAAAGTTCAAACACTTGTAATAGCAAGTTTTTAGTGAAACAGGCCTCAGATGGTCTGAATTCTTTATGCGGCCGCTTTAGTCTGCAGCGGCCGAAGCGAAGACATAGCGTTCGAAGTCGCACGCGATGCAGGTGTAAAAATAGTGTTAGATCAATAAGACCGTGACGCTTTAATAACTATACAGCATAGAACTGTTGCCGAGTGCAGACTTTTCAAAGCTGTAACACGTTTGAGATTACTTTTGTGAAAATTTAACACACAATTCAACGAATCGGCTGGGCTGAAATTGCACGGTAAATTACTGTCCCTGAAACACAGAGCCACGTACCCATACATTTCGGTATCTTCTCGTCACCATAGCACTCTCAAATAAACCACAATTGAAAGTTTCCTATGAGTCAACACTATCAGGGAGGATAGCAATTCTATCATCCCCCGGTCTGAGACAAAACAGGTAATATGAGCTTTTGGCATAGTTTGTGGTCCATCAAAAAATTATGTAACAAGTGTATATGCGAATGTGTGCATTTGTGCGAGCCTTCCCGAGCATTGACCATTGGTCATTGAGTAAAAATGTGTGGTTTTAAATATTTCGTTCGCCTGATTTACTTTTCTCATTCATGACGAGATTACCGAGCCACGTCTTCTCACTATACAATGAACATCTACGTTTGTATTATGCGTGGTTCTGCATTTAAGATTGGCGCCTACGCTGCCGGCCTACCCCCTTCGCGGCGGCAGGCTCTCACCATGAGCACGATGATGCCGGCGCCGGCAGCGATCCGCTTCAACCTCACGCCATGGGGGAAGGTGGGCTCGCGCTGGCCCGTGATGGGGTTCTTGCCGTAGGCGGGTGCGCGCGCGGCGAAGTCGGGCCGCGGCCGCTCCTCCTCCTCCTGGTAGTCCATGCAGTCCCAGTGGTGGGAGAGCGTGGCACACTTGCGCTTCCAGTACTCGAGGAACGTCACCGCTGCAGGTCACGGGGAAACGGCTAGATCAGAGATTGAACAGCTGGGGCTGAATGGTCGCTGCTTCATGTAAGAAACGGGATGGGTGAGAGGGAAGGACTCAGGGTCTTCTTTTCAGCTGCAGCCATTGATAGTTGATACCACCAGCCAGTTTGATCTGCAACGAAAAGATCATTCTGGACATGGTCCTCCCCTTTCTGATAAAAGAGCCCGGTGCCGAGCTACACAACTATGCTAGGTACGTTAGCTATGTCTGAGAACAATCAAACGGAACACAAGATGATCATCAGAGAATGGTTATACTATGTAGGTAAAGGAAAAGAAGACTTTACACACGGCCAGATAATGGTTAAAAGAACGGAAAATAGGTAGTACGCGAGACAGCTGACCGGAGGCCTAGGCATTTAAAAAGTTTCGCTGATTTATAACAAGGTCATTTAAAGTAAAACTACTTAAATATTGCTTCCAAACTCCCTTTCGACACGAATGGTGTGAACAATGTCTTCAAGGTTAGCAAATATCTTCGGCAAATATAAATGGCAATATTTTCGAGGCCGGCAGACAGACGAACTTCTGGCCAATCTAGCGTCATTGATGGTCGACCTTTGGAGCCTGATGCAACTTGTACATCATGCGGAAGCTTGATAAAGAATGCACTGAAAGCTGGACGGACGCTATTACATTATTTTTTTATTGGATATCGCAAAGGGATGTGAATGAGAGAAAACCCGGTGAAGCAGCAACTCGCGAGCTAAAGGGATCATTCACTGCATGATGCATCATGATACAACATCACTCTCCCTCTCCCTCCCCCACCTCTCTCTCTCCCTCTCTCTCTCTCTCTCTCTCTCTCTCTCTCTCTCTCTCTCTCTCTCTCTCTCTCTCTCTCTCTCTCTCTCTCTCTCTCTCTCTCTCCACGGCCAGTGTCCCGCTGTGCCAGTTCCGCGAGCGCTATGGACAAGTGGCGACTGCCGGGGGTGGTCTGTGACCCACAGGTGTCGTCGCCCAGCTGTGGTCGGCCGTTATCTGCTCCGGAGAAACAGAGCCACCTGTGCGACACACCTGCGACCGAGGCGCACCGACCACACCACCATACCGTCCGGGGCGGTCCGTATAGGCCATGTCACAGTGGGCATTGTTTATATAGAGCTGCCGCTGTCAGGTGAATCAGCGATGTCGCTATCGAAGATCGGAAATCAAGATTGATATTTAAAACTGGTTAGTGGTTAGGTTATTAAAACTGGTAGAGTTTCAGGTGAAGCCAAGCAAAGCTGAAGCGATTATGGGATAAATGATGGCTGTGGGAAGGCTAGGTGACGTCTGTCGCTGGCTGAGTAAAGTGTAGGTAGTAACTAGTAAGCGAAGTTATAGTCCAGCGATGCACTCACCCCAGAACGAGACGAACACGCTGTAGAACACAGTTCCTGGGTGGTCGAACAGGTAGGCAATCTTGGCGTAGGCGCAGATGGTGTCCAAGTACCAGTAGTTGCAGTAATCACACAGCGGACACATCTTGAACTGGCCTGCACAGAGGCCGAGTGGAATTGTCATAAATAATTACCGCAACCAGCCAGCAGGTCAAAAGAATAACTGGTTTAAACGTTTAGGTATTTATCGATATAAAAACATACTGAAACTACACATGACAAAAGCATGAAAGTCTGTCAAAACAAGACTCACCTGGGTTATCACATATTTCGTTCGCCACATCGTTTCGATTTATGGTGATGACACCGTACATAAACACCAGTAACCCTATCACAGCGGCAGGCAGCAGCCAGCCAGTGTAAAAACCTGCCGCAGACGGATACAATGTCAGTTCAAAACGTAATCGTCAAAACGCCACAGCTGCACAAATGTATATATTATATAATGCGTTGTACTCGAGAAAACTGTCACTAAAGTAAAAGAAAAATAACAGAAAAGAAAACTAACAGATGAGAGCCAGCGCTGAAATATCATCAATCATTGCTTAGGTACCTAGCCAGGCGAAGTAGATGCCGATCTTCTCGCCAAAGTACTCTCGGATATGGTCGAGCGGCTGGTACTTGTACCACCGCGAGTACCGCCCCCAGTACTCGTGCAGTATTTGACGGGCGTTCAGGCGGCTGTGGTCGAGGTCCGGGTCCTTAGGGACCTTGAAGTCGCCCTGAAATCACGCCAGTACTGACGAGTGTGAGGGGCAGAAGATGGACAGATTTGCTGTTTTGGTGATGAAAGATAAAGGCATTTTGAGGAAATTAGGATTAATTCCAAAGTGCTATTATTGTTTTTTTTTCTTTGGTGAAATAAAACATGATTTTGAAGACAGGCAGCATTTAAATTACAAACGATTAGATGATAACACTTAGAAATGTAACAGACTTGCTGCTCTGGTTTATTTCGATAAGCCGTAAAACAGGACTCATCCATCCCCCCCCCCCATCTTATCCACTGACAGCCTCCACCGTCCGAAGAAATATCAACCCACATACACCCGCGCCGGGACAGCTTCTTTCGCAGCCACCTCACGCCTCCCGTGACAATCAGTCGGGATCGATGGATGGTGCCGATCGGCCGCGGACAGATGGCTTACGTCATGCAGCGGAAAGGCGGCGTTGTAGGTGCCCTCGTCCACCAGACGCTCGATGCCCACTTCGCCCTGCTTCCGTTTGCCGAACACGGACGTGGCCAGGATCTCGTACACGATTCGGATCCGCTGACCGGTCGAAAAGTAGTTGTCCTGGTCCTCGCTGCCCAGAAACCTAACGGAGAACAATGCATGTAATGATGTGAAACAATGAGATTATTATGAGACTCTTCACTTTAAAGGGACTATCCCACCTTCTAAAATGTTGTTAAAACCAGTTAAATTGTGCCCGACGTTATAGATTGGATGACCAGGAACACGGTTCTGGCATTTATTTTTCATTAAACATCATAGGCTTCCCATATTCCAAACACAAACTTTCAAATATGTGACGTCACAGCCCAAAATTACCTCCTTCCCCAGGCCACATTACTGTCATAAAGCTGATTCTTTTTACTCTGTAGGCACCACAACAAAGTTCAGACCAAGTTTTAAGCGATTTTTCAACGAACAAACCCATTTAAATCAGAATGACTAAACGAGGTGACGTCACGCTATCGGTCGCTACATGTTGAAGATAAGGCCTTGTACAGTCCACAGCAGAAGTAATGTGGGGTTTCAGTCATGGGTATGTTCTGCTTCTGAAGCTTAGGAACGATTAGCCAGACTACAATGAAACTTTGAATGTAGCTTATAGGTATCGTCACCCTTGCAGCTGCAACTTAAGCTATTGACATCTTCTTTTCGATCACTCCGCATTAAACAATCGCCAGTCAAAGCCAACCGTTGAGATTGGTAAAACCCTACATTACTTTAGCGGTGGGCTGTACAAGGCCCATTTTCAAATGAAGGGAACGAATTTCTTCAACACCAAGAGGCCGCGGGGGTTGCAACCTAGATAGATAGTGGTTTCTGAACCTCGCCGCAAACTTGGCTATCTCAACTCAAACCCCATGTTAAAGGTGGGATAGTCCCTTTAAACATTTCTTGCAACCAGATACACGGATAAACTAAAGTGACATCAGAATATTCCAGTAACTAGGTTTATATGATATAGCAGGTCTCAGAATACGCTAGGCCTATGTCCACAGCATTTATAATGGTTATTTTCTGATAAAATATTGTCTTGATATGACAGGCTGCTACGTGTGTGCGTTTTTGTTCCTATGCTGAATGATTGTTACATCACCCGTCTCTTCTCGCGCTTCGACCACTTATTTCTATTTCACGTCCATAAGGTATTTTGCTTTTAAATACAAGAATGCAAATAAAATTTAACTTTACCCGCCAACAACAGGTGAAAAGGGTAGAAAATTTAATCCTTCTTAGTTTCATCAATAATGAAAATAAAGGCAATAATAATAACTAAAAAGTTCCATTTTGAGCGGGTTTGGCCAGTGCGCCTGTCGCCTGTGACCCTCTTCAAGGTAGAGGCTGTCCATCAGCAGTGTATCCGGGTGAGGGGATGGGGTCCATCGGAACTATGGTGCAGCGGGGAGCGGACGGAGGCCACCGCCGTTCTGTGGCCGCGGGCGCTGCCACCGCGCCCGTCTGGCCTTTGTGTGACGGTCACCGGCAGCCGGTCACGGCGGATGGCCTCGGGGCATTTATCAGAGGCCGGCCGTATATGGAGGAAAGGGACCAGGGCCGGCTGGCGCCGCCAGATGCCGGTCCACGTCAATTACCAGAGACCGAGAGAGAGAGAGAGAGAGAGAGAGAGAGAGAGAGAGAGAGGGAGAGAGAGAGAGAGAGAGAGAGGGAGAGGGGAGAGAGAGAGAGAGAGAGAGAGAGAGAGAGAGGAGAGGGAGAGAGAGAGAGAGAGAGAGAGAGAGAGAGAGAGAGAGAGAGAGAGAGAGAGAGAGAGAGAGAGAGAGAGAGAGAGAGAGAGAGAGAGAGAGAGAGAGAGAGAGAGAGAGAGAGAGAGAGAGAGAGAACTGGTGGGAGGTAGAAAATCGGTCATGGAGAAAGACAAGAAACGAGAGAAAGTCATGGAACGGTAAAAGGGAAACAAATAGTCACCAACTGTCATAGACCAAATAGCGCAAGGGAACTGTGGCAACCGTTTGTGCAAGGCCAGACTGCGTCAATAACGGGAATATAATACGGCAGCAAAAGGTCACAGTGGTAACAGTTCTTTATGGAGCTCTGCGCTGACAATGCCCTGGCGGGCCCATTACTGAAACAGACGAGTGTTGGCTCAGCAACTCTGCAAGGTTTCCGACTCACTTGTCTAGCTTGGCTTTCTTGAAGGGGCAGGTGAAATACTCGACCGGCTTGTTGGGGACGTCTTGCTGCATGACGTTGGGGATGTGCAGCTTCTTGAGCACCCACTCGGACCAGTTGTGCGGCATGTTCGGTCTGACCTGCGCGCGGCGACAACGGCGGAGAGTTAGACACTCATGCAGAGATTGGGTGAATTCAGTGCCGGCTGCTGGCGGCGCGACACCGCTGATAGCAGCATTAGCAGGGCAACGCTGCGCTGATCACCAACTGAACAGACCACTTTCAGCGGGGACTTTGGAAGGCACTCTGAGGCGACTACTAATGTGGCGCTGCATTGGCTGAAATGACTCGCTGATACCACCTTTTCGTCGACACTGGTTATTGATCTGGGCCGCCTGATTGCCGCCAGGCACGTTATCGGAACTCCCGCAGGCACGGACAGAGAGCAACACGAGCGCTGATACTGACACGCACACGCACACACATACCTCTACAGTGAGTATACACTATGCGCACGCATACAAACACTCATCAACACACATACATACACACATCAACACACAAACACACAGGCCTACAATACTATGGTCAATATAAATGCTAGCCTATGAATTTACATATGACCGTCGAGTCACACATGCATAAACAGTAAACAGGTAAAGAAAGAAAGAAAAAAATATAGACAATTCCACGCCAATGGACCGGTTTAGACAATGAATTAACGGAACGTTTAGTTTTCATTATAATTTTTTAGATAAGTTATGGCTCATTGCGATCACTTTCGCGTTGCAGATTCAAGCGTCGCATGTCGCTTGTTTTAATATAAAGAACGAGGGTTAAATACTGTACTACTGTTATCTGTGAGACTGCAAATAAAATCTCTTTCGTGATATATGTATTATGTATCCTTATCCATCCGATAAGCCAAATGGTTCCTTCGGGGTACCATAAACATCACATTAAACAAGCATATAACTCTACAAAAAATATCAAATTGAATAGCGTACTTGGTGTGCAGAGCTATTACATAAATTCCATAATATACAAGACTTTGCAAGTTGTCCGTTTTGCGACACGACCTGCCGAGATTCAAGCAAATCATATCAGCTATCATGACCTTTAAATTGGTTTACCTACATCTTCTTTGGTTAGTATTAAGTTAAAATAACTTATTAATCCTTTAAATCCTGTCAACAATAACGTAAAATGTAGCAAATCGACAAATGTAACGTAGATAAATGTCAATGTTGCTCTGTTGAAGAGAAGTATGGTTAGGAAAACTTTAAACGTTCTGAGGGTGTTTTATCATGCGTTAAACTGAACGTGCAGGGTGTTGGTTGTAGGGCAATATCAAAAATGCAAAAATACTTTGTTTCCAAATAGATATCATTTCAAAAAATTATTGGTTTCAATAGTACTCCTTTGAGAAGGAGCTAGAATGGTATGCTAGAATATTAAAATGAAACCCATTCTCATTGCTAAAAACCTTGGATTTGGTGATGCTACTTCGATTAAAAACTTCGATTTGAAGAAATAGCCACGCTGGAGAATGGAAAACACTTTGAACTTGGAGAAAAGCATGCACAGCGCCTGCCGCGAACTTGGCAAACGTATCAAAAATCACCTTCGAAACTTTTTATCCGACATACATACATCCGTACGGTGTGCCAGTATACACTATATACTGTGCTTCACTCGGAGGGCAGGTAACAATCGGGTTACAACCGAGCGGATGGAGAGGGCGGGCTATACACAGACCCTGCACTGGTGCTAGTCGACGCAGCCGCGTGCGAGTTGCTGCCGGAGAGCGCGTGCCGCTAGGTAAGGACGGCCGGGCCCGGCCGGGAGCTACTCACATCAGTACCCGTCCGGGCGTCCTTTTTCTGACACAGGCGCAAGAGGCACAGACAGAGAAAAGCCAGCTACGGTGATCGGGACCGAGACGCCAGAGGCCGGCGCGCGGCACAGCGCCGCGGCGCGTACAGAAGCATGGTGATGGTGGTGGTCGATAGGTATAGTTGCTACGTGAAGTTCAGCGCAGCTCGGCATCACCAAGTGAAGAAGAACAGAAGCACTTGAAAGAATAGCAATAAAAATAAAATGGAAGACAAAATGTTTCGATGCTGTGCTTCTGGTTCTCAGTTCACTTCGTGATGCTTTGCTGGCTGGGGTTTGAATCAGTGAGGTGAAGTAAGCTTGGTTCAGTTGTGTGGCGTGGAAGGGAGTTAAAGTGACATCAGTGCTGTTCAGGGGCTAATCTACAACACTCGGCACTTATCTTTGTGTGAACATCAACAGCTGTTCTTGGGTAACAAGGGGAAAAGATAACTAAAAGAAATGATAGATTTGTCGATTCCTTTGATTTGCGAACCACAAATGAGCACTGTTTTGACTGGCATAAATTCAATTATAACCCATGAGAAACCACTACACCGCATTTGAACCTCAACATGGATAGAAAATCAAACGCTCTTAGAACCACAGTAATTACCATGGGCTTAGTTTGCCCTCAAACTGGCCACTAGCTAATTTCACAGCCTGAAGGCGTGCCGATAGCTCGTCTCTCGGCCGGCCGCGGCCGTCCGCCGCCGTCAGACCACTGAAGTATAGACTGTCCCGCAATGCACCCGTGCTGAGCGGTACAGCATACTCCCTACTCGGGCTGATTGGTGATATCCTCGCACGGAAGCTTTCCTATCGTCGACGCTTTATATATCATCACATGATGTGGAGAGCCAAGAGGCCTCCTCAATCATGAAGCTCTATAAGCAGGGCCCGTTTATCTTCTTATAGGCTTTTTATCTGGCCTGATGGAGAAAAAGAGCAGATTATGGTCTTACTAGTCCACTTCATGTGCCCGTAAAAGCTTTGGGGTGTGCCGCGGTGTATTTAACATATAACCCGTATTCTGGGTCATTTTTTATGCCATTTTTGTTGTAAATCGAGCATCGGCACAGTATTTGACTTCCGATTCCGTTCAAAGGCAGCACAGCACAACGTGAACGGCATTTCAGATGGGATTTGGCTCGAACACCAGCGATTCCTTATCGGAGTGTTTGTTAGCCGAGTGGGGACGCTCTCGCTAAGCTCGCGCTCTATATCTCTCCTAACCAGGCTATTTGTAGACCGGGTCTGCCGCGATATTGGCCACTCACTATGCGGGCGATGAACAGTTCCATTTTGGGGCTCATCTGGGTGGCGCTCATCTGAAGCTGGTCTTCCACGTTCATTCTGGTGACGGAGTCAAGGAAGCCATCCAGGTACTGAGGCCCGATCGACTTTCTCGGCGTGATTCGCTCCCGGACCATGTGGAAGAGTGGCTTCCAGGAAAGAGGACAGGATAACAGAGGTCAGAGGACAGAGTAGGGGGATGAGGGGAGTTGGTCTGGGCAGATGTATCGTACGTTTTCCTGAGGAGAAGGGTCAGAGAGATAGGTACGGGCTCTTGTCATCTCCTAGGGTGTTGGGGAACAAATGGTTTGTGAAATCATGAACGACGATGTCATTAACTGTCGACGAGGGACGCTTTATTCGCGGGCTGGTGAACTATTCTGGGAACTAATTACCTCCGGCGGCACTCTCTGGATTTGTGGGGGTGATGGGACCGAGCTGTAAACCGAACTGCACCCGTCGAACGACGGGCCATTATGTCAAAACACTGCCCGCTGGCGATGTGGTGCCCGGGAGCCGACAGACGCAGAGACTCACCTGAAGAGGTGCCCGCATCTTCAGCTCCTCTGCCCAGGTGCAGAGCACGTCCCACGGCGCGTGCAGCTTGATAAAATAAATGGTTTTCTTCGGACCGGGAACGATTTCCTGTAGCAAAATGTCATCACCCTCCGTTGTTATTTAGTCCAATTCTGAATAAAATCTGTTCTTCTTTTATTTTGATGCTCACCAAAACGATTCATTCAAAGTATTGCAATTATTTAACCCTCGCATGTGTGCGGCGTTTGCCAGCTTCTAATGTGTAGGGGGGGGGGGGGTCGGTTGGACCCCCCCTTGCCGTTTGGCCCCTGATCGAGCTAGAGCTTCGCGGAAAAAACGAGCGTGTTGCCCGTGTCGAGAGGAAGCCGATGATACCCAATTTTAAGGTCCTAGGTCATTGGTTGACCTTCCAGGTCAGGTCAATGACCCAAAGTCGGGAAAATCGGGACCTGTTAGAAAGTCGTAAAGTGTGGCTGCTAAGGGGTTTTTCGGGGTGCTGATCACGAATATCGTGTTAGTTTTGATCACAGATGATGTCTTGAAGCATTTAGACCAGGTCGGGTCAGGTCAGGTCAGGTCAACCAGTAGGCGTCGTGACGGGTATTCGTAGTACGTGTCAACCGCCTCTGACAGCTTCGTAACATGTTACGAAGTCACCAAAACTACTTCGTAAATGTTCAAATGGTTGCTAAATTCGAATTCAGCTCCAAAAACTAGCCTAGAAACATGTAAAACTCGAAAAAGTGACCCGAGGTCACCTGAGGTCACCAAAGGTCAATGACCTGACCTGACCTTCAGGTGACCTTGACACACACGGGAGTAACATCAAATCACATGTTTGAACGTTTGAAACCACGAAAAGCTTGCAAACACGCGGCTAGTGCGAGCCGACATACGCGAAATCGCGATTCCAGCCAAACATGGTCTCGGAAAAGAGGTCACAGGTCAAAGGTCATTTGGGTCAGGGTCATGAAATTTTCAGGGTAGGTGTAAAATTGATCAATGCGAGGGTACTGAAAGTTTCGTCGCGATCGGCCGCTTTTTACGCGAGTTATTCGCGAAAAACCATGGGGGGGTCCATCCGACCCCCCCCCCCTACACATGCGAGGGTTAACACGCTCTGGAAACGTAAAAGGTGAAAGTATCCAACATATAACGATATACATACATAATTATACGGCGTGAAAAGGATTGCTGGCAAGATTCATGAAACATGTCTACTGATTTAACATAAATGACAAGATCCTCGATCAAAAACAATTGAGCTTGAAAGTGTAGTGGTTAGCTGACTTTATTTGCATACAACAATGCCCATTGCCCTATGATATACTTAAAATAATAATGATATTACGCGCGTCTTTCAACAGCATACTGAAAACGTCGTACATAACCAGCAGCCACAATTTCTCATAAGATCATAACGCAATAACGTGGACTCATACGGCTTCCTCAGCCGCCTGAACGGGCTTCTCACCTCCTCCATCTGAAGGCCGGCCTTGCGAAGGTTGGCCCTGAACCGGCCGCGCCATGCCTCCTGTTTGAGGAAGCGTTTCTCGGCCAGCCTGCCGCGCACCTTCCCCTGGATGGTGGTGTCCTCGTACACCAGGATGTAGTCGATCCGACGCTTACCGTCCCGGAAGAAGCAGCTGTCGATCTCAGCCGGCAGCTGCGCGTCCTTCCGTCGCTCGATGTGGTACTCATTGTTTTGGTTCTGAGGAATGAGGGGAGTTTGGTCATTGCCTGTGCTATAGAAGCGCAGGCAGGGCAGGAAATAGAAAACCTGTTTGTTACAGAACCTGTTTGAAATAGAAAAATTGAAAACTTAAAAGATATTTGCTCTATTCTGATGTCACTTTTTGTGCTACCGCCGACTTTTGGTTATTTCCAACAACAGGCATTGCGGTGTGTTTTGGACAAACAAAGCTAAAATATAGACCACTGAAATTTTTGCAAGAAAAATATAAAATCGTAAACTTAACACGGTCTTGTGATAACCGACTTCGGGAAGCCTGGCATCTCCGAGTCAGGCTTGCCGTCCAGTGTTGGCAGTGACGGCTCTATTTCGCACAGCTCAGTCCTCAGTCGACGGTAAGAATAAATCTAGAGAGTGAGTTAACATTGGAGGCCGGTCAGCCATCATGATAACGATGATGGAGATGCAGTGGTCGTGGTGTTTTAAACTTCGCAACAACCACAAGCTTAGTGTCACTTGTCAACAGCTGGTCTCTCGATGCTTCACTACGATTACTTTGGAGCAGTGGGTGTTTGCTTGGTTTTTGTTTGTTTGCCTGCTTCGTAGGTATTGTGGTTTCGTGTGTAGCTGTATAGAGCCCTCGATGTTATCCATGCAGGTTTTCCACAGTCAGCGCAAGAACTGAAGTGCACAATTCCATTTATCGGTAACCCTAAGCATCAAACTTCGTAGGCGAGACGGAGGAGACTGCCTTCGGAAAAGGTAATCAAAGAAGCCATCCGTTTTCCAATGGGCTCGCGCATTCATGAAATGTGTCAGCGGCCTGCCTCGCCCAACGGCACTCGCAGCTCCGTTCAGATCAGCCGCGTGATGCCGCGTGATGCCTGCTGCGTGATACCTGCCGCGAAATTGGTTCCACCCCGACTGGCACGCCCATCGTTCGCAAATAAAAAACAACGAAATGTGTTCCAACGCATCGACAAGCAGAACGAGGAAACAATTTACTTCAGCTCAGTCTAGATTGTGATATAGCTAAGCCGCGCTGTAAAACAAACGATTGCAATTTGCAATGGAGGAAAATACAACAATATGAAAAATAAGGAAAGTTTTGTTTACTTTTTTATTATTTTAGGTAGCATTTCAATAGTCAATTTACAAAATTTCTGACACAGGAAACATGCGTTTGACTGACATTTAAATGTTTATTTCCATCTCACCCTATCCAGTCGAGTGTTTCCCTATCCCTGGCTCTACGGGCTCCTAACGCGGCAGCACCGGTGCACTGTTTTCCACGGCCGCCCGCACTGATCACGGCAGTGTAACGGCGGGATACCGCCACCCCACTTTCTCTAATGCGTCCTGACGGCTGGACGCCACCGATATGCAGCTCACGCAGCCACGGCAGCGTGCAAAACAACAGCTCCGTCTATAGGTAGGTCCATACAAGAGGTCACACCTGACAGGGCTGGTGCTCCTGAATGAGCTAAGACTACTGAAAAAAATCAGCTAATAAAAAACGCATTTCGTGGAATCATTTATTGCCTGTGCCAATGAGGTCAATGAAAGATACGGTCTGACCTAAATTCATCCGTTTTTTTTCATCCAAACTAACTCGTTAATGGCACACCTTGACAATGATGAAACCATTTTCTTAGAACAATTTCTCTTCATTTTGTATGGTGATTCTCTGCTAAGGAGTTCTTTGAAATAGATCTTTTATGCGATATCCCATGCCGGCACGTATATACTTAAAACGTAACTAAAAACTTCCCTGTCTCTTTGTTGTCAGCATGAGGCAGCAGGCTGCGTGCGAGCGAACAGTGCTTTACAAGATAAAACAAAAAGTATGAAAAATAAGCCTCTTGAACTCTTCACAAAGTTCAGCTCCATTTTTCCTTCCCTAACTTGCTGAAGCGCTCCACCGGGAGTTCTTAGACTGGAAAATGCCTGCATCAGCATTTCAACGAGTGTCTCGGCTGCGTGCTGGCGTCTAAGAGGCACTGCATCAGCCGAGTGGCCCCCGCCCACTGAGACGCGACCATAAACCGTGCCTGATGTCCGCGGCGGGGGTCGGTCTCCCACGCGCCGCTCATATACCGGCACTGTTCACTGGTCACTGCAGTCACTGACCAGTGGTCACTGGTCAGTGGTCACTGGTCAGTGGTCAGCGACCAGTGGTCACTGGTCACTGGCCACTGGCTACTGGCCACTGGTCACTGGTCACTGGTCACTGGTCACTGGTCACTGGTCACTGGTCAGTAGTCAGCGGCCAGTGGTCAGTATAGTCAGTACCAACTCAGTGGTCAGCGGTGGTAACTGAAGGTTACTGATGGTCACTAAGGGTTACCGATGGTCACTGTGGGCATTTACTGCCAAGTAAAGTCACTGGAGTTCACTGAGCGTCACATAAGATGACCGTGGACTATTTATAGTGACGGATGATAGCTGGCAGTGCCTGTCACAGATATGGCAACAAATGAAATAACTTTTCATTGCAATGGTTCCCTGGTGTTCGCTGCTGATGGACCAGCGTCTGGTGTACCAAGGACATCGGTCGGCACTGAAAATCACTGACGGCTTCTGGTGGTATTTGCCAGCCAGTGAGACGGCCGGTCAGTGCCACAGCTTTTGCACGTCAGTCAGCGACCATCATTGAAGACCCCTGTAGAGTATAGAATCCTCCGCTCACTTCAGGCTCTTCCGATTGCTGACACCCTGACGGGGCCGCCGGGACAGTCGCCTTCATTGGAGGGCCGACAGATGACTCCCAGAGGTGACCGAGCGGGGCATGGACCTCTGACTTGGAACGGGACGCTGAACGGCCGTACGATGTGTGAAACGGTCACCGGAAAAGGCCACTGACCGATTGATCTAGCATTGACCATCGCAAAGGACGCAAGACTGTCAAGTTATGTAGAAAGTGCGAGAAATCAGGCATTACATGCACGTGTGTGGAGGCCACAATCTACTGAAATGTCGCGATGCTTGATCGCTTCCGAGGTTTGGGGAGGTGATATGGAAAGCATATGCTGAACCTAGCAAATATAGGTATGTCATGCAATTTAGGAAGAGGGCATGTTAATGTTGAAGTACGCTGGCATACACAATGCACATTGCACAATTATTGCACATAGCTGCCCATCAACGTATCATGGGCGATCAAACATCAAGCCCACAACTTCAGACATCATGTCACGCAAATAAGCACTTATCATTAATTCCCTTGCGTGCAACTCGCGAATATGAACAAGAATAATAGGTCGCTCTAGTGTTCACTATTTTTTAGGCATAATCCCTCTCATGCACTGAATTAACATCATGCAATATTTACTTTATGCAATACTTTGCAGCGCGTATACCTACGTCGCAATAATTATCGCTTCACGCAGCATATTGTTCCAGTTTTGTATAATTTCCCATAACTTTTTACACAATGTGAGCCATTTTAGCATTTTAGCATCCTTTCGAATCCAGAAGCAGCTCAATGCGACGCACAGGATAAACACACAAACACAGTCCGAACAGCTTCCGGCTGTTATCTTTGCCAGACGTTGAGCTCCGTCCACCTTCCTAGTTCCTACAAGCTTCTCAGTTCCTTTTTTCACTGAAACCCATCCTAGTCCCACTGTCCCACCTCCGACCCACCCTATAGTCCCATCCTAGTCCAACGCCGCTACCCAGGTCCCTGTCCCGCCCTATAGTCGCACCCAGACTGGCCATTAGCCGCCCCCGACTTCATGCAGTACACAACGGCCGCCCACAGTCCAACCTTCCGACCAAAGGTCAGCAGAGATATGAGGGCGATTTGGTAGACGCTGACCGAGGACAGCTCGACTGAATGTGCTGGCATGCCGAGGAGAAATGGCGGTTCCACAACGGCGACTGAAAGTGAAGTGAAAATAGACCGTGGAAAATGGACGGTGGAATTCGGAGGCCTTGACACTGCTCGTTTAAAATGTTTTTTAATTAAACTGTTGTTCGTGCGGCGGGAGGACCTCCAGCTGTCAAAACACCTCAAATATTAGATATCTGATGTTAGAAGACGGTAGAACAAATATCGGTCGTGAGCAGCAGCCATCGAAAAGATACGCCAGATATTAGACACCATACGACATAAAAACCTTGGACACTAGAAAAACAGCAATGTGATAAGACGTATTTCAGACATCGGATGTTAGGTAAGCACAAATGCAGCATACAGCTGCGCCGTATGGCGCAAGAATCATGTAGGTAATCCAGTAGACAAGAAACATGTATTGACCTCCAAACGCCAGCAACCAGACCTCGGACTATCGGAACCTCCAACAACGCCTTAGCAATCAGACTTGGGCCTTGGAAATCAGCCCACACATCAATCTGTGCCAAACTCAGCTAAATTCAGACATGGACGCTAGACAGGATCCGTTCTTCTCATACATCTGGGATTGACATCAGCAGGAAATCTTAGCACGTATCTAACCATGAGGCGTCGTACTTCTCTACATCAGGTGTCAAGAGGCATACGTGGAATATCGCCCAGCCACCAACAAACAGGACACATCCTTCAGACATCTGACTCAGCCGTTGGACATGAGACAGAACCGGAGAAGCGGACATTCTTCCTCTGACATCAGACAGGATATCAGCCGTCGGACATGAGACAGAAGCATGAGAAATGGGAAATGAGACAGCCGACATGAGAGAGGCCTAAAGAAAAAAAACAAGACAGAGCATCCGCCGTCGGATGTTAGACAGGTCACCCGACGTCAGATATGATTCGGCTGGTGGACATCAGCGAGGATCTCAGCCGGCGGACAGCTGTCCTCTGCTATCAGAGAGGACCCATCTGTCGCAGATCTGACCGCTCTGTCGGCCAGCACGCACCGTTCGGCCGGCAGTGCGGCGCGCCGCGGCCGGCGTGGCGCGGTCGATAGGCGCAGAGCAGCGCCTACCCACCGACCGACCCGGTCCCGACTGGACAACAGGGGAGCTGGCGGGACCGGCGCGCCGCTGGCCCGGTGCCATCCCACCCCGGGAGACGCGCGCCGCGCCGTGCAGCCGCCTCGGAGAGCTCCAGCGGCCGGCACCGGACATCGGGACCGCCCGACTAAGGCGCACAGCCAAACCGTCCGTCATTCGAATAGGCGCGGGGCTCCGGGCGCTGAAATTATTCCCCGGAAAGATACTCAAGTAGTAGGAACTGGCGCCTCAGGGCAGAGCTGGATCCTGAGCCGGAGCTCGATACGGGTGGTGAGCCGGGAGAATCAGGAGAGCTCCCCGGTCAGTGAATGTGCAGTTGACCCTGACGGCGTTCTCCGATATTAGATTGACACAGCATCGTGGGACTGACATCCAGAACAGATCCCGGGCGGCTCTGCAAACACTCCGGGGCGCAGCGTCTTTAGCCCGGAGAGTGGGAGAGAGAGAGAGAGGAGAGAGAGAGAGAGAGAGAAAGAGAAAGAGAGAAAGAGAGAAAGAGAGAGAGAGAGAAAGAGAGAGGGAGAAAGAGATAGATGAAGAGGGAGAGAGAGACGGAGAGAGAGAGAGAGAGAGAGAGAGAGAGAGAGAGAGAGAGAGAGAGAGAGAGAGAGAGAGAGAGAGAGAGAGAGAGAGAGAGAGAGAGAGAGGAGAGGGCGCTACCAAAACAGCCGTCCGCGTGCGCGGCGACTAATCAGAGAAGGTTCCGTGCCGGCGTCGGCGGCTACTGCCTCTGACGACCGACTGATGGAAAAACAACGAGCTCTTTGTTATGCCTGATCGGCTGGCGGCAACAGAACCGTATGTCGAATGTCTCGATCTCGCGCCGAAAGGGCCAATCGGAAGTCGGGAAAAGGAATTGGTATCCCAGAATATCATTCATTCAAGTTAAGAAAACACGCAACTTAATATATTTGCTTTTACGATAGACGGACGTCTTTGAATTGGCATTGGCTTTCACAAAACTTTGGAGAAGCTTTGCTTTTAGTGTCGTGCATCATATCTCCTATATATTATCTTATGCGATTCACTGTCGGTCTAGAAGACAAATGCTGCAATCAATGGCGCCTGATCCTAGGTGTACTATGTTCCCACCTCATTAACCGGTCTGGATGCCAGCACTCCTCAGTCCTTTGCGTCTATTTATTATGCCATCGTCTGTGGTTTTCATCAAAGTCGGTTTGAACGAGGATTATTCTGAAGTTTGAAATGTCGATTGTTGCGCTGACCCTGCCGATCGCGCGATTCCGGTTCTATGGCAGAATAGAATCTGGAGTCCAAAGTTTAACGTGCGCACATAGCCGCGCACGGTCGGTCCCCTCACTGACTTAGGCTGGCTACGGCTTGCCACCAACCGCAACCATACCTGTCAGGATGCCCATAAATGTCGAGCGCCCGTCGCGCTTCGAACCCGGACTGTTATAACCGGGAACGCGTGCTCTCACCACGCGGAGTCCATCGCTCTACCGACTGAGCTACGGGACCGAACGTAACCATGTCTATGCATTTCCGATTAATCCATGCTTTCATCTATATGATGCCTGTGCTACTTTTCACAGATGAATATCTGGAATGAAAATAGGTAAATAAAAGCCCATATACTACCAGTATAACGCCTTTTGGGGCGACTAACGGAGCGAGCGAGAGGGTGGGCCTTGCACGTGTGAAATTTCGAGGGGGTACCTCCAACTGACTTGTGCACGGCACCTTACTAACCGGTCTCTAGCGATGTGCCAAATTTGAGCACAATCGGCCCAGCCGTTCTCAAGATCTGAAAGCGGCACCCTGCACGTGCGCACGTGCAAAATGGGTCCCAACTGACTTGTGCACGGCACCCTACTAACTGGTCCCTAACCGTGTACCAAATTTGAGCGCCATCGGTCCAGCCGTTCTCGAGATCTGGAAACGACCCCTGCACGTGCGCACGTGCAGCAGCACCCCAACTCTGGCACATGGATATGCAGTGCCTAGTGGGTGCCTACCTACATGCCAACTTTCAGCGCAATCGGCCAAGTAGTTACCGAGATATTGCAACAATTACAAAACTGACACCTCTTCGTTTTGCACGTGGCACGTGCATAAGGGGTCACCCACATGCATCGGGAATAGTCCAATACTTGGTAGAAGGAATGAAACTACCCTACAAAAATTACCGCGTGTAAATCGGTCAAGTGGTTGCTGAGATATAAGCCTCGCAAAAGCGTCCGCACGGCCGGCCGGCCGGCCGGCCGGCCGCTCATATGTACTCAGAAATTTCCGTTAATTTTTTTTAATTTAGAGAGTTAATTTAGAAATTTCCTAAGGAAAGACTCCGCTCGCTTCGCTCGCTCCGTAATAACCCCATATAATATAAAGCCCATAAAGCCCATATATTCAGGTTGATGCTGATCGATGTTACTCACTTGACATAAAAAGTAGCTCTCACTTATAGAACAAATGCAAGTGGAGTCTAAAACAGGTCAAGATAACGGCCTATGGGGATATCAGTTGAGCGCTCTCTGTGCTAAATTTCAGGAGTAGACCTACGGTCAGTTAACTATCGTTCATTAGCATAACTGAGTTTGGGCGTGCGAATCTAGGAATGCGCGCCGAGCTCCATATAAAGTTAAATATGGCTCACTGAAAGTCAGCTCGTCATCGAGGGATTGCAATCACTTGTCTGTTCATGCCTTTATAAGAAAGTATCATAATGATCTTCAAGGGAGGAACACAAGGTCATTCAAGTATGAAAAGGACGAAAACGATGACGCCTAAAACAAAGACTTTTAACGTGCAAATTTGACCAAACTTTTGTTTTTATTTCAGCGAACCAACCCAGACTAAGTGGGAAGAATTGGGCATGAGGGTTAGGACGCTATCTTCTATAGTTTAGGGACGGAGCAGCGCACTCGTTACCTGCATTTCTATAATTCTATCACACATCATCCTTTACCCACAGTGATGCGCCGATGTGGGAGGATGGGACGCCGGTTACCTCAGGATCGGCGGTGAGGAGGGCGGTGAATCTTTCGGCGCCAGTTAGAGACGCGTCCATAGCCAGGGGTTTGTGCCGGGCCTGCTGTTGCGCCGCCGCCAGCATCGCCGCCTCCGGCTGCCGCATCGGGAAACGGTATCACCACACCATCCATCCTGTCGACTCTGGTTCGGGATCGGAAGGTTCTTTGGGCTTTGCATTAAACCTATCTACGATAAGCTGGATACATCAAAACCGAAACACATCAGCTATTCTGTCTGAAACTGTTCGTGAAATAGGTGATATAAATAATAAAGAAATTAATCTCTGCCTCGAAGTTATCAATTAATGTAATCAATCACGCTGAGTCCGTGCTGAGCTTTCTGACACATTACGGCCTGCGTTCGTGTGGCCGTGCCCGGCCACTGTCGGGTTCGATTCTCATCAGCTATCAGCGCCTGTCAGCCGGGTACAAAGCTGCGTCAGCTCACCCCCACCCTCCCCTCCACAAGCGCGGTAGCGGTGGCGGTAGCGGCGGCGCTGCACCCTCTACCAGGGACCGTCCACCGTGCCATCGCCACGGGCGCGTCGGAATTCACGGCCCCGGCACCGGTATCGAGCGGCCCTCCCCTGCCCTGCCCTGGCCGCCGTCCGCAGGGCTCACATCACCGCTGCTGGCCGGGTCGAAGGCGAACGTCGCCAGATCCTCCACGCTGCCCTGCCGCTGTCCGGAGAGTTTCCTCTGCAGCCAGCCCGTGATGGAGCCTCGCTGCTCCACCGGCTGCGCGCGGGACGCAGGACGTAGGTGCAGGCGCAGGACACAAGAGGGAAAGAGCCACGCGAAGTCAATCTATCAGGAAGTTACCGTCGATCAATGTATCACCTCGAAGTGTTATCATTGGCCACAGCGGAAACGGAGACGGGATGAATAATGACGTTTGATAAACATGGGAAGAATGGTATGTGGACGCTTTTATTATTATTCGTAAAATGAGCGAATGCTGTTGAATATTGTAAAATCAAATAATCGCTCGACGGCATGTATGTACCTGTTCCGGCTCATCTCGGATTATCTGGATGGCCTGGTAGGACCTGGTGACTCTCGAAGGTCGTCTTGAAGAGGAGCTACTGGAGGGATGGGGCAGCAGGCTGAGCCGCTCAGACTGAGGCGGGGAGGCGGTCTGGAGAGGATCCTGGGAGGGTGACGGCTCAGCGGGGAAGGCCGCCTGCTGCTCTTCAAGTCCCTGCTCTTCCGGCTGGGAATGATACGATAGGCGCGATGGAAAAATGCGTTGTACGAAAGAAAATGTAGGAAAGGAATGAGATGGGAAAAAGGCATTTTATATTGACAGGCTGGTTTGTGCCTCTGCAACATTTGTATTTTTAAACAATTAGAAACCCTGAAGGGCTAATTCTTTTTCTCTCTAAAAAACAGCACGAGACTGCCAAAGATGGCATTCAAATATAACTTGTCTGCTAGCACGGAGGCTATTGTAAAGTCCCGTTACCTGTTCTTGTTGGTACCCTCGGAATTCTGGGATAGGCTGAATCACAGCACTGCCAGAGGGCTGTGGCATGAGGCTGTTGCGCTCCACTGCTAGAGCCGACGGATTCAGGAGAGGATCCTGAGGTGTATCCAGGAGAGCATCCTGAGAGGCACCCAGGAGAGGCTCCTGAGAGGTATCCAGGAGAGGATCTTGAGAGGCAGAAGATGCGGCGGCAGCAGCGGGATTCATTTGCTCCACACTGCCCTCCAGTCCTGTCTGAAGGCGGCGATGGAAGAGGATCAGGTCGATTAGCTGCCTAAGATCAATAGGCTTTCAACATCAGCTCTGGGCGAGGGGCGCAGTAATCCCTGATATTTGGCATCCCGCGGATCATCGAGAGGAAAAAAACATAGCATGAGGCAAGGCTATTGCTCTTATCTTATTAGTTTGTGATTTAGGTGAAATACGACAGTTTTATTTTACGAATTATTGCTTGCTTAGCCCAACCAATTCGGTTGAAATACCATAAAACCTATCAGTTGAAAAGTCCACTATTCAAAAGTCCGTCATTCTAACAGACACTTTATCTCTCACGCGCACTTCGCGCTGCCCCACGAATATCACCTGACTCCTCCGCTTCTTCCGAAAGCTGGCGATGGAGCGCAGCGACCTGACCAGCAGGGAGGATCTCCTAAGGGTAACGCTGCTGGACTGCCTGACATCCAGCGGTGAGGGCGAGGGGTCCAGGAGAGGAACTTGGTCAGAGGAGTCGGCAGCTGCTATCATCTGGTCACCTTCCTCCGGTCCTTCCTCCTCCTCCGGCTGGGGATGGAAAGGATTGGGATGTAAAGGATGAATAACATGGGTGGGATGGATAGAAGGTAGGACGTGTGTTGAAGTGCATATAGGGATAGGATATTTGAATGGGATGAAGAAATGAATAAATTACTTCGACAGACACTCAAATACCATATGCAGCTATTTCTCTTTTGATCAGAGTAGACACCTTTGTTGTCAACCGCAACTGCTCAGATCAATCACGTAGTTATAACACCCGGTGCTAGACGTGATGGGAACATTACATATATTAGACAGTCAAAATAATAACAATAAAAAATAGTAAGCTTCTTATAGTTGTTTTAGCTGCAATAGTCGGCCAGCTGTGCAAAGCTCCAAATCGGGTGCCGAGAAAAGATATGAACTAAAATCAAAGGAGAAACGCACTGTTATTGAGTTAGGTCTTATCAAGGAAAGATGAAAGGACGTTGAAGGGTTAGCTTTAATGAAAAAAGCGGCACCTCATTTCTCGAAACTGACTGAAACAAAACGCAGCTCTGTCGGAGATGACAGTGTGAAATGAATGGGTCTGGCAGGATGGAAAGGTTACCATGGTGATAGTGACGGCTTCAAAGGAGGGCGCCGCGCCGTCTGGGGCCAGGCCGAGCTCAGAGACGTTCTGCAGCACGTTCTGCGCGTAGCTGGAGGCGCTGGTGCCCGGCTGCGGCTCCAGCAGGCTAGTCTGCTCTGTGGTCCCGTCATCGGGCACCGCCTGGGAACGGACAGCTGCTCACATAAAGAGGTCCGCCGTGAGCGACGGCCGGTCCGATACGTGCACTGCACGCACGGAGCGGCCTGACGCGCCCGGAGGGCAGGCCGCCCCCCTCCGCGGCTATACGGCCCGGTCGCGTGGTCTCTCTCGTTTCCTGACCGGATGCCTGCTGACGCCGTCATGGCCTCTTTTCCGGTGTGAGTTATGGTGCACATGGTTACACGCGTAACGAAGTAACCACGCAAGCTAGGCTGTTAATACTTCATGACCTTACCATACTGGGAGTGTTTGAATAGCAAAGGGTTTCTTTCAGGTGAAAACTGACGACATTTTAGGAAGGATACTTGACTAACAACCATTAATTGTCACTTTGCTATGATGGTTGTGTTAGAAAAGAAGCAATGAGCAGATCCGTCGAAAACATCAAAGTTTTCAGTATGTAACAATCAGTAAAGGCTTGATGACATCTGGTTACCTTAGTTTCATTCTGGCCTAAAACTGGCCAAAGCATTTGTAATTTTCGAGCATAAATGGAAATACTTGCCTAAATCTTGCACTGCAGAACACCATGAATATTGTTAGAACACTTTCTCTCCAATCACACATTTGTTCGTAATCATGACACATTTATGAGATATGAGAAGCTGCACATCGTTCGTATTTCAGGCAATTCAGCCAGGGGTGCAAACTCATGTATAAAATTAACATATAACTCATAAAGCATGGGGCTTAAAATGAATTTTATTCGATTATTTCGAGCAAATGTAAGGCATTTAAAAGATAAGATTGCTTCTTTAAGCAGTAGGTAAACGAATATTTATGTACACATTACTATCAATCTTTACGTATCATATATTATGACGTTCAACAAATATACCAGGGCCTATTTTAACATGTTAACTGGGGTGGCAAAACCCACCCCAGTGGTGCGGTCTTCCACCCCAGTCGTCTTGCTTTGCCACCCCAGTGCAAAACAGCCCAAAAGTCTGCCCACAGATATTGGCTGCCGACAATCACGGAGGCGACACATTCTTGGGGCGAACTCAGCTTGACAGGGGGAAAAGGGCTCACTGAGGCGCCACCACCACCAATGGGATGCCCTCTCACTACTGGGGGCGCCCTGCCGCAACTGTGGCGCCCTACTTTTTTTTTATAAATTTAGCTTGAATGTTTGAATGGACGGATTGACAGAGCCGGAGCCCACGCTAAGCAGAGCTTGTTGCGTAGACCCCGACCCCTACCGTCTGATCGCGCAATTCCGGGTAACGGAATAATTTAGATGCCTAAGTTTAACGTGCCCTTCAAAGCCGGACACAACCTGTCCCACTCAACTGACTTCAACTGGCTGCGGCTGCTCCCACCAACCGCAGACCATCCCCGTCAGGAGTCTCAAATATCGAGCACCGGAGCGACTCGAACCCGGGCTCTCACTACCGGGAGTCCGGTGCTCTACCAACTGAGCTATGGGACTCTCTAATTCGATTGGGACACACTACCGGCAATGGGGCGCCCTACCAGCACTTGGGCGCCTACCACGACTGAAGAGCCCTATCAACATTCGGGCGCCCAGACACGATTGGGGCGCCACACCACTACTGGGGCGCCAACTGCACCTTTGGGAGCCCTATCAGTATCGGCCGCAAAATTAAATTTGTCATGTGGCTATGAGACAGGCCGTGTGATCAACAATGGATTTTCAAACGCACGTGCACGCATTGCTTCTGACGAGGGTATTTCCAAGAGAAAAATCTGGCGGGCGGCGGTTTAACCCGCGCCCCACTGGGGGTCCTGGATTTCCACGCCCTGCTGGGGGGGGGGGGGCGGGGATTTGAACACCCCCCTTCTAAGTCGGCTCCTGGGCCAAGTAGCGACACGCGGTAAGCGGCATCCGAAAGGACGTCAAAAACCATGACGAAAATACCCACTTGTTATTTTTTTAGGTCAGGTCAAAGGTCAGGTCACCAAAGGTCATCAAAGGTCAAATTTTGTTATTTCAACATTTTTCGAAACTGCCGACGGACAACTCGGGAACCAATAGAGCTACAGCGCCGCGGAAAAGCGCAATCGATAGCTCTTTTACAGGGCTTTCTGAATAATGTTCTCAGGTTTGACCTCAGGTCAACGGTTTAGCCTCCAGAGTGCAAAAACTTCGTTTTCTTCAATAACTTTTGACTCAAGAGAGACACGACAGTATTTTTGCCAGCATGGTGTTCCTCTCGTCTAGACGCGTCGAATGAACTATAATTTGACCTTGAAAGGTCAACTTGAAAATTTGACTACAGGTCAAGGTAATGACCTGAACGGAAAAGGTCGTGCTGCATATCAGTCGATCCGCAACGTCGAGCCGAACACATCTAAGGCGTTTTCATCGCTCTAGCTTGCCTCTATCAGAAGCTATTAGCGAAAAACTGTTAGATACCATTCGTGACCTGATATGACCTCGGGGGCATAACGAGGGGTCACGGGTGCCATTTTCTGGTTCAGCGTGTCATGTTAACTCGTAATTTAGTGTTTGAAAATGTTTAGAATGGCGTTCGTCTAAAAGAGGCGCTTTTCAATTTTCTCCCATTGACTTATACCTAATGGAGAGGTCGAAAAATTGACCTGACCTTAGGTCATCGATATCGAAATTTCAAGATAAAGTGACCTCGAGTGACGCCGGCTGCTTGGTATGGGAAGGTGTTTATCATGGACGGATCGGGGGGGGGGGGGGGATTTGAGGGCCATCGGCATAAGCAGTAAAAGTTCTCTGACGAAAGGGGGTTGCACCATGCACAGCCGACTTTTGGCTTAATTCTTTCCATGCATCGCCCGAAAGGGCTATGTTAGAAAAAAAAAACTATGCCAACAAAGGCCTCCAGACACTTTCCCGAAACGTTAGTCCTTACGTACTACCGTCACAAAGAAAAGATTCTGAGACTCGATTGCGACGCCCCCCCCCCCCATCGAAATGCTGCGCACAGCAGTATTTCGGTGGGGGGGGGGGGGCGCCAACACAAGAGACAGGGGCGCCACCACTGCCTGGCCACCCCAGTCCAATTGTCTTAAAATAGGCCCTGAAATATACTAGCCCAAAATATCTACAATTATATTGTAGATATTTTATACAAGCATAAGCAAGGTTTAGGTTTCAGGGTGACTGTGAACAACAATCGAAGTCAGCTTAACTACGAGGCAAAGTTGCATATTTGTATGGTATGTCTAAAATAACAGAAGCAAGTAATCTCACTTTGTCACAAGGAGTGCTGTAATCATAGGCGTCGCCAGAGATTTTCGGTTGGGGGGGGCAAAATCAACTTTTGTGTTAAAATTTGCCTTTCCCCAGTCTTTACTCACTCGTTTTACATATCATTCGACGCGCAATTATGCGAGGAATCCGATGGCGATAGGTAAAGGTTGCTTTCTAGCTATGACATGTAATTTTTTTTTTTTACAGAAAAATTCGAAATTTTGAAATTTCATGACAATAACGACTGGTAGAATCATAGTATATAGTGGCTGCGATTGCCGAGGCACTGCAGAGGGCCCATGTGCAGACGCTCGACGCTCATGATCATTACCCAGAAAAAGGTGAAAAACGCTCCATTTAATCGGATCACCCTGCTAAAACCTTCATTCACGCATGCATGCAGAGGTTTTACGTGAAATGTATACTGTATAGGACTTATCCCAGCCGCCGATCGTAGCTAAGTCGGGCATTCGGCGGAGAGTGAATGTCGGAAGTGTGAATCGGAAGTAAATCATCTTTGTTCCAGCGAGAGGAAGTGTTTTGTTCACTCGAGTGTGAACAAAAGTTTCTCGTTTTTCGTGTGAAGGGAAGCGTTGCAAACGCGAACAAAAACTGTTAAACGGAACCAAAAGTTACGCACGGCATAGCGACAAGGGATCCCTTAGAGATAGGTTTGGGACTTCCAGGCCATTTCAGGCCACTCAGGGTCAGTGCTGACTCTCAGAAGCATGCTTAGGATCCCGGAGATCGGCGTGGGTCACCTCAAATATTTACGTGTACGTGGTGCTTTAGGGCTTTCCGAGCCCAAGGTGGGGCCCTCAGGGGCCAGTGTCGGCGGCGGGCGCTAAGAGACTAGGCCCAGGGTGAGCCTGGAGCCCTCGGATAACAGTGTGAACCCTTGGGGTCTGTGTCGAATCCCTAAGGACCCTATGAAGAGACATAATAAACATGTGTTGCGGACCTCAGAGGGGCACGTGAGCTGTGACCCTCAGATGCCGGCTTGGATTTAGCAAAGTCTGTCGCCTCAAAAGTTTGGCTGAACTATCAGAGGCCAGTTAAGGTTCTCAGAAATGTTCGAAGGCTCAAAGATCCCTGTATGGGCCCTCAGAGAACATGGACACCAGTGGGACTTTCAAAGGCCGGTTTGGGCCCTCTGAAAGCTTCTTTAGGGCTCAGTGGAGCTCCTTAGGAGCCTTTGTGTAAGGCAAGCTCATGAGCCCTGCGACACTTGTACTTAAAAGTACCGCGCAAAGTGACGGTGGATCCATCAAGCCTGACCGAGGAAGGGCCTGCTATAATTTGATTCACCGAAGCAATTGACATCCTCGTGCATTCCCCAGGTCAATTGGTTCGGTCACTTTCGAATTATAGCAGGCCCTTCCTCGGTCAGGCTTGATGGATCCACCGTCACTTTGCGCGGTACTTTTAAGACAGACTGTACGGTACTTGAGCCTGTCGCAGACATTTGACGAGAGTTGAGAAAGGCCCCGAAGATTTCGTTTCACGCGTTGAACGAAAATTGTGTCAGCACTCCAAAACTTCCGAAAATCAGCTGTAAAATGTAATAAAGAACGAACTAGGAACATGGAATGAATCACAGCATTGACATTTCCGAGTCTGGACTCGGAGTCTTGAAGATTTTGGAGACTGCAAGTCAGACTCTGGTTTGAACTGCACGCTCCAACCGAGTCTGACCTCACAGGCATTCTCAGAAAGGTACCCCCATTTTTTCCCGACTCCAAAATCTCATCGGATCTGTATCGATCTCAGG